ACATTTACTTCCATTATTACATTTTGGTGTTATCTTTATCATATACATTCACTTCCATTATTACATTTTGGTGTTATTTATCTTTATCATATACATTCACTTCCATTATTACATTTTGGTGTTATTTATCTTTATCATATACATTCACTTCCATTATTACATTTTGGTGTTATTTATTTTTTTCATATACATTCACTTCCATTTCAGCTGGTAGCCAGTGTTGCAACAAAACAGCAACATCATGTGGGATTGTGTGTCGGGGCGTCTACGCTACAGGAGGAGGCAGCACACGAGCTACACGTATTGTGTTATCTCAGCATTGCAGTGCCACAGACAAGCATGTGGAACACTGCGTACACAAACAATGGCACCCCCAGGAAGGCAACTCTCTACGCTGTAAGTGTTTTTTTTTTTTTTAAATAAGCTTTTGACTTAAACCCCCCCCCCCTCATGTGAATTATGGGGCCCCCGTTTGGGTGGGGTGGGGGGGGGATAGACCCACTGCCCCCTAGTAGACTATGGGAGTGTTGTCTTCAAAGTCAGAGAGCATCTGTTTGAGAGGTGAGGAACCAGCAGTCTGCTTACAGATAAGCCAGATCTGTAACACAGATATGCACGCAAAACTTAAGTTCTGGAACAAGACTAAAGTCCACAAGTGGATGAACATCCAGAACTTTCGCCGCGCTTTACAGCTAGTCAACATGAAGAAGAAGAAGACTTAAAAATGTTAACCACACACTTGACAAAATGCAGCTCCAGACCGGAACTATGAAATATTAAAGGCAGTGAGAGATTGCTGTTGTTGTTGTTGTGACTTCTGATGTTCTTGTTATGCCATTTAGCATCAGCCTAAGTATAGTGTGCAACAAGACCAAATTTCACAAGTGGACGAACAACCAGGACTTCATGCTAGAGTTTTCAGTAAAGATGAAGAAGAAGAAGAAAACTACTTCCCTCATCCTTAATTTTATTGATTATCATGCCAGCCACCTTGACTTGCCAGAACATTTTAGGCTGAGAGCTCAAATGAGGCCAATCTAGTTTAAAAAAACTTCTATTCTCAGTGAGGATTTGAATATATTACCATCACCAGGCGGGGAAAAAGTATGGTAGCCATTTCACTACTGCCACTGCCTCTGCTGTGAGAAGATCCATACCTAACTTTGTATCCTGTATCTTTTCTAGTACTTCCATGTTGTGAAAAGGTTCAGACCTGATTGTATATCCTATATCCATTGGTAAGGCTCTCACTCTTATGAGAAGTCTCTTACTTACAACTGCAGCTTTCCGCTGGCTAGAGAACACGACACACACACACACATTGTGATTGTAACTGACTCAGAAAGCATGCTGAGGAAGATTAGGACAGGCATGCTTCGTGCAGAGTTGCATGCTTCGCTGCGGAGGACATGGGTGAGGAGTATTGTCTGGATTTTTTCACTGGGGTTACACAGGTGTGTTGGGAAATGAACAGGCTGACAGACTGGCTGGCTGGCTCTGCAGAGCTTGGTGGAATACTGATGCATGATAAGGCAGATGTGATAGGGCCTTGTGGGAGAGCATGTACAGTTCGGAGGAGCAGATGGATCATCACAGTCGTGAGATTGATGACGGGGCGAGTGATGAGAGGTTCTGGCAGATGCTCAAGGCTCAGAGGAAAGCCAAAACGGACGTTAAATCAGAATGCTACTGGCACCATTAGTATTGGAACTCTTTGTTGGCTGCTGAAGATGGGGATGGAGTGCTTATTGGAATGCCGCCAGTGCTGTGATGTCGGTTCTTGAATCAAATCAAATCAAATCTTACTTACCATTGTGAAAAAAGCTGATACTTAACTTTGCATCCTACAAGAACTGCTAGCACTCCCAGGCTGTGGGAGAAGCCCATACTTAACTTTGTATCCTGCATCCATTACTAGCACTCCCATGTTGTTAGCTCTATCCATATGAGAGCTCAGTTAAATTAGTTATAAATCTACTTGTGGTGTGTTTTTTGGTACCCAAAGAGTTTAAAGACGCAGACTTAACTTTATATTGTTTATTGTTATCTAGCACTTTACTTTATATTATTTATTGTTATCTAGCACTTTCCTTTTATAAAGAGACCTAGAATTAACTTTATATCTTGCTACTAGCACTGCCATGTTGTGAGAAGGCCCAAACTTCTCGTTGTCGTTCTACCTGCCAAAATGTTCTACAGACGGTCATGTCAGAAGATGACAGGGTAGATGAACTCATTCAGGCTTGCTCTGAACCGCAGCCCACAGTAAGTCCATTGTTAGTACATCTCAGTTACAATCTTTCAAAGTTAACATTGCCTTAGCTTTACTCTACAGAAGGTCCAGTGTTAACATTTTCTCAGTTATAGTCTGTAGCATGTTTAAAGTTAACATTTTTATCACTACAGCCCACAGTAAGTGAATATTAATAGTGCTCAGTTACAGTCTGTCGAAGTTAACATTGTCTTAGCTATGCTGCACAGAATGTCCAGTGGTAACAGTTTTAAAGTTATAGTCTGTAGCATATTTAAAGTTAACATTTTTATCGCTACAGCCCACAGTAAGTGAATGTTAACAGTGCTCAGTTACAGTCTGTCAAAGTTAACATTGTCTTAGCTATGCTGCACAGAATGTCCAGTGGTAACAGTTTTAAAGTTATAGTCTGTAGCATATTTAAAGTTAACATTTTTATCGCTACAACCCACAGTAAGTGAATGTTAATAGTGCTCAGTTACAGTCTGTCAAAGTTAACATTGTCTTAGCTATGCTGCACAAAGGTCCAGTGTTAACACTTTTTCAGTTATAGTCTGTAGCATGTTTAAAGTTAACATTTTTATCGCTACAGCCTACAGTAAGTCAGTGTTAATAAATTCTCACTTACAGTTCGCAGCATGCCAAAAATTAACATTTTTTTAACTACAGTCCACTGAATAAGTGGGGAGAGTTAGTCTCTGTTGTGATCTCCATGTGTGATAACTGGTAGAAACTCTGACGATATTTCAACATTTGTGCCTCAGATTTTCTTTTTGTTAGCATCAGATCATGTCCCCCCCCCCCCCCCCCCCCATTATTGTAACCTGGAATTGCTTGTATTTTAATATGACAAGCTGTTTCATTTGACATGACACTGACATTTATATTTGAATCCAAAGGACCCCCTGTGGCAGTGTTTTCTCAATAACCCAAACACAAAGAAGAATGAGACTACACCTATGTCCCGTATCGACAATGCCAAACTGCAGTGCTGCGGAAAGGCAGTCTCTAGCAGGTGCAGGGAACTATGTGCTCAGGTTAGCTCATTTGCAAGTTTCATTTTGTTTTATGTATTTTTCCATTATCTAATTAATGGAATAATCTTCATCTTTGTCCCAGATAATGCTGGCATGAAAGGCAATGAGAGAGCAGATGCACTGACTGGCAGTGCAACTATCAGGAATAGGCCGTCTATGGACAGGAGAGACATTATCAGTGGCATACAAGAGACTAAACGCTGTGAGGAAAGGGTCCTCTATAGACAGGAGAGACATCAGTGGCATACAAGAGACTAAACGCTGTGAGGAAAGGGTCCTCTATGGACAGGAGAGACATTATCAGTGGCATACAAGAGACTAAACGCTGTGAGGAAAGGGTCCTCTATAGACAGGAGAGACATTATCAGTGGCATACAAGAGACTAAACGCTGTGAGGCTTTCAGTTTTGTGCAAAAGAATTTTTCACTGAATAAACTGCATACCCTGGGTGTACTAATTGGAGCAGCGAGACAGGAAAACCTTGCGGTAGCCACCTGTCCTTTACATCAGCCAGTACAGAATGGAAGTTGTTAGCCTAAAAAACATTTAAAGACGTACTCAGGAGGAGATCAAAGCACTTATGGCCACGTCCGATAAAGAGGATCTTTAAATGAACAATTCATGGAATGTGTTTATTTAAAATAATTATTTCAAATTTTTGGCTTTGAAAAAAATAGACTGGTCTCATACAGGGGGCATCTTATACACAGTGAAGTGTGGTTCTTTGGTGGTACAAATATTTAGGGTTTGAATCCGCATGGGCAGATTTTTACAATTGACCTAGGACTTCTGGCTGAGCCAGCCAGAAATGGAAACAGGAGTAGAACATTCAATGTTATATATTTCCAGGGCCAAACACAAAATATATGTATCAGTTGACTCTTGCCGTGACGCCATCACCTCTACCACCGGGGCTACGAGCAAATTTGACATCAACTTGGCTTTATAAAAGTTATTTGGCTCACAATTCCCCCCCCCCCCCCCCAATCCCCCATGCTATTTTTGATAAGTATACGTATATCTTGACCCCCTAAATGCTGCACTGGTGTGACGACAACCACTAGTCTTAACTATGCATCCATAAACTAATTACTCAAGAAAAGTCGCTAAAGCAACTTTTAATGAGGAATTGGACCCAAAATAAGTTTTAGTTTGCAGCATCTGGGGGTGACAGGGTTAAAAGAGTGGTTAGCACGCTGTGTTATGGTTTACAGCTAGGCTGTGATATCTGCACCTTTTGGCCCTACATATCCAATTGCAGCATATTCCTATTTAGTCATGTTTATCAACCAACATGCTTGTTGAGAGGCACTGGGTTGATCCCCCGCCCCCTACCAAAGTGAGGCCCTGGTCCCCTCCTGGGAACACACCTACTGAGAGGTATAATTAAATGTAAGAGGTCGTTACTTCAGCAAAGCACACACACACACACACTGTCTGCCAGAAATAAGACCTAAGTAGGTTGTGTTTCTCATAGGTTTTTAGGTATTTCATTTTAGGTATTGCTCAGTGGATGGCTTAGCCAGTGGATGAAATGAAACAAGAACACTGACCTGACCTGTGATTCTTGTAATTATGTGAGATAGTGACACATGACAGCCTATGCTTATCAACTCAGCACGTCATGATGATGGTGAACAAATATAATCTAAATCTATTTGTAAATACTTTGGCAGGTGTTTTGTAAAGCTTTTCTTTTGCTTTGATTTCAGACATACAAAGGTGGCTGGTCCCACCATGCAGAGTTTGAGAGCACCTGCTCTTACATGCAGCCGGTGTCTACTGTGGAATCAAATTTGCATAACTGTTTGACTGATGGTGAGTTGGCCAGATTTCAGATTAAAGAAAAGGCTACATTTTAAATAAATCTCTAGTGCTATGTGTGCTACACAATTGAGAATAAACTGCTAAACATGATTTTGAGAATCTTTGCTTTGCATTTATTTTAAAAAGCCCCTATTTCTTCCATAATGACTGGGAGAAAGCTCACGACTCGCATCCATATGTTGCTACAGAGAAGATGCATACTCTCCTAATTGTAACTTTTCATTCCTTGCTGATGCGTAACCATAGACTTGTAATGCTGAATTCTTCTGTTCCTTTCATTCGCTTGAAATGGATTATCTATATTTGCAGAAATAGATTATCTATATCTTGCGGGGTTGTCTTTAGATTCACTGTCCTTGTTAATTTACTCAGCAGCCCATAAGATTTATCCTTGGCCAGAAGTTTTGACTTTATTTGTTGTATTTGAGATAGATAGTCTTGGAAGACGTGATCTGTTGTCTCAGGTTCCAACACACATTTACATGCCTCATTCGCTAATGTTTCATTTTGTATACACTTTAATGTGAAGCCAACTGTGGCTTGTTCTGAGGAATGGAATAATGACTTGCTCTGATCTGTTCATAATATGGTAATAATCTTGTGCCGATGTTGGTGGTTTTCTGATTGATTTAACTATTCTCTTCTATTGATAAGAGACAAGGGCGAATGCTAATTGTTATGCTCTTCTGTAATGTTTAGATTCAAATGAACGTATTTGGCCGTTATTTGGCTTGTTAGATGTCAGAGTTTTTGAATTTACATGAGTAGTTTGGTCCTGTGGAAGGGTTTCATAATTCTCAAACATCAGGCTGCTGTTCCCCAGCAGTTTATTTAAAAAAAAAAAAAAACATTATTCTCATAGTTTTCCAACAGTGTTACAAGAATGACACTGTTGCAAGAATGACACTGGTGCAAGAATGACTGGTATAAGAATGACTGGTACAAGAATGACAGTGTTACAAGAATGACACTGGTGCAAGAATGACAGTGTTGCAAGAATGACTGGTATAAGAATGACTGGTACAAGAATGACAGTGTTACAAGAATGACACTGGTGCAAGAATGACACTGGTGCAAGAATGACTGGTATAAGAATGACTGGTACAAGAATGACAGTGGTACAAGAATAACTGTGTTACAAGAGGACATTGGTACAAGAATGACAGTGGTACAAGAATGATACTGGTACAAGAATGACAGTGGTACAAGAATGACAGTGTTACAAGAATGACACTGGTACAATAATGACAGTGGTACAATAGCGACAGTGGTACACAAGCAACAGTGGTACAAGAATGACAGCATGGAAGAAATTGGGGCCCCACCAAGTGATATTCCTGAAAGGCAGCAGTGGGGTCGCTGAGATCAACCTTTGTTGTGGGGGGGGATCCCTGTGTGGGTTTTATGAGCCCATTTTTAGTGAGAAAACAATAGACCAACTGCACCTTTTAGAAACATGTCCTGAAAGGCTACTAGTTAGGGCCCTTTCCTGCGAAGTCAGAGTAAATCTGTCCAAGAGGTAGGAACTAACACTCTGCTTACAAAACGGATCTGCACATAAAACTCGAGTTATGGAATATGATCAAGTCCCAGGGGTGGACAGGCAGAGAGCTGGAGTTTACAGTTGGTGAAGCTAAGAAAGGAATGGTGCCGACAGCACACTATTACCAGTTAAAAAGTAGTTATTTACTAAATTTGGGTCATATTGATGTACTGCATGGCGGGTTAGCTAAGTTTACCCTGGGACCTAGGTTATTGTCAGTGTCTGTGGCTTAGGCATTGCGAATGTGCTTCCTAATGCCGGGGTGCTGGGTTCGATTCCAACTGCGGACGATCTGTCTTGCGTTGGTTTCAACAATGATAACGAGAGCTGACCGTTCAGCAAGCAGTAGAAAACTACTAAATGTAAAATCATGCCTAAATCCACAAGAGCCAGAAAAATGCTGGAGTTGATTCTGCAATGTCCGGTAAAGGATAAACAACTAACTTTAACCACCCAGGGACCACATTTTTTTAAATTGAGGATCATAAGGGCATAGAAAGATTATTAATACAATACATTTGGCAGTGATCTGTGGACCACTTGTTAGGCTTCTCCGTGCCTAATTCGGAACATCAGGTCACCAGTTGAATCGCCCTGATGTAGTTTTTTTTTTTAACCTAAGAATATTATGTATCATTATCATGTTTCCTGTATCCCAGTTGATGAACCGTGCAAGCTTGGGTGTTCAGGTTTATCATTCTGCACCAATTTTAACAACCGCCCGACAGAACTGTTCCGCAGCTGCACTGTTGAAGCTGATCATGCTGCCCAGATGGTTCTCAACTCCTGGAAAAATGGGGTCATACACCTGCCACAGATGACTATTCCTGTCAAAGGTCAGATGTTTTTGTATGGAGACAGATGTTTTTGTATGGAGACAGATGTTATTCTGTGGAGGCAGGTGTTATTTATGGAGACAGGTGTTATTATGTGGAGGCAGGTGCTATTGTATGGAGACAGGTGTTATTCTGTGGACACAGGTGTTATTGTATGAAGACAGGTGTTATTGTGTGGAGGTAGGTGTTATTGTACGGAGACAGGTGTTATTGCACAGAGACAGGTGTTATTGTATGGAAACAGGTATTATTGTATGGAAACAGGTGTTATTGTATGGAGACAGGTGTTACTGTATGGAGGCAGATGTTAGTGAATAAAGGCAGATATTACTGTATGAAGACAGATGTTACTGTATGGAGACAGATGTTGTGGTTTGTAGTCAGATGCTACTTAATTATATGTAGACTGGAGTTATTGTACATAGCGAAATGTTATTGTAATAAGTCTGGAATTATTAAGTGTAGTCAGATGCTATTGTGTGAAGTCGGGTTATTTTATAGAGACATATCTTATTGTAATAAAATAGGAGATATAAATCTGTTTATTTGGGAGACAGAAAATGGTTGTAAAGAACTAGAGATAGATTCCTTATAGACTGTGTTGCTGAGAGGCCAGTGTGTCTGGAAGTACCAAGTTCGATTCCTTGTAAAGTGCTGAGAAATCTGCTCAGTACCATTGCTGTCTAATTTCATCACAGATCCCTTTTTCACTGATTAGGGACTTTGTGATAAAGAAGAGTAAAATACTCCTACTGCCAAAAGCAGAGGAAGAAGAAGAGTAGGAGGAGAAAGAAGAAGAAGAAAAGAAGAGAAAAAAAAAAGAGAGATTTGCTTATAACTGCATGAAAATTACTGTAATAATTCCAAAGTTTGTATTCACAGATGTACAGTTGTTAATCTCATCAACATGGATATTTTGTATGTTTCATACAGATATCAGCCAATGCAAACCAGCCATGTGGAAGGCCATTGCCTGTGCCTTGGAAATCAAGCCTTGTGGTTTCCAGCACAGCCTCATGACCTTATGCAAGTAGGTACAACTCACGTGTTGAACTCTCCAGTGAAAAAAATACCGTTAATAATTTCGAAGTGGCAGTTTATGTACCTTTTTGGAATCAAGACAATAAAATATTTTGGGGATAATTGATGCATTGCCAGTTTGGCTCAACTAGAAATGAGTACCAGGACATTTTAAGGAAATAAAGATGGCGGATATATGATTTTGACCACTTCCCTAGTTAAATGCTGACTGGTGTGTTAAAATCTCGGACAAGTACCACCTACCCAGTAGAGTGAGTGACTTTCTACCCCACTAGGACATCACACAAGCGATAAACACCCGATGACACAATGTGCCACCATGTGGATGAGGATCACAGTGGAGAGGTCCCAGAAACCGCGTTCAGACATTTGGCCATTTTTATGGCCTGCCTATATTGCGGCCCCCTGGCAAAAGCCAGAGTGGGGCTTCAAATAACAAAACATTATGTCCTGAGAAGGACGTAAGGACTTAAAGCTACCTGTACTCAGTAGATTTGTAATATGACAGATGAGTGTTTGAAAGGGCTGAAAGTAAACAGAACACAATTTGTAACCCTTTGGGCAATAAAGTTTGTTTATTTATTCTTATTTCTCTAGGTGTTAACAGAATCCTTGAATTTTACTTATGGAACATAAGGACTGTGTGGTCTCTAGGCATGGTGCCCGGTTCAATCCCCAATCTGCTAGGATGTTTTCACGTAGACTTGGACTTCTAGTAATTGCCCATGGTCTCTGGGTAGTGAGATCGAATGCCCGTGTGCATTGTTGCACAAGTAAAAAATTCCTTGGCAGTTGAAAATCAAAAAGAGTAGGCTAACGGCACTGCTCGGGGAAAAATTTTGAGCTAAAAATCTACCCAAAGTATTTCAGGATCCTCGCTGGCGCTACAGAGCCTGTGCTTCTTTGGACTCAGACTTTGAGTTAGAAGAAGCACCGAGCATTTAGGGGTTACTACCCATGTGTCATGATGTTGATCTGTTGTTCAAGATCTCAAACTTATGGAACATTGACTTGGTTGTATGTTAAAATACCTAGCCCACCCAAAAAATAGAACACACCATGTGTCAGTTAGCACACACAAGCAGTAACTGATCACACATTTCTCAGGGTGGGTTCCGGCACCCTGATTTTTGGTAAAACAAAACAATTGTCTAACTGCCTCTTAACAGATATGTGGTCAAAGATTACCCATTAATGGTTTTCTGAATCATGCAAAGGTAAAGTCGGGAGATGTGAACCAGCGTCAGTGCAGACGGTTATAAACCATAAGTGCTCTGCCATAAGTACGGACAGCTGATAAGAAACTGTCCGCCTGTGTCGCCGTCTGCACGTAACTCCGTAGCTACAGCGATCTTCCTCCATTCACCCCAGAGTGTCAACTCTGGTACCCATTACCTAGAGGCTGCGTGAACCCCAGGTACCGCCCGGTTTCAAACACCGACCGTGGCTGCAGCATGTTGAACTAATGGTTGCAGTTTTCTTTGGCTGGTTGTAAACCACAAAATGGCAGGCCATCTGCTGTTTTTAGATGTAGAAGACCACACACGATGCATCACCGAGGACAGGAGAAAATTACATTGTAACACTATTTATAATGTGTAAACAGTTTTACTGTTGCCTCTAAATTGCATTTCTGTTGTATGTCACTCGCACAGAAATGTCTAATTGTTTGTCTTTTCTGATGTCCCTAGAGAAGACTGCTTGTTCATTTTAACCAAATGTGTGGATGCGTCCAGTTTGTCAGGGGACAAAACTGTGCCAGTGCTTTGTAATGCTCTGCCCTCCAAAAATGAAGCAGGTACCTGTGTCTCTCTGGATTCCTATCTGTGTAAGTATTCATCTCATTAATTTTAATAGGTTTCTTTTTCATTCCATTTTTTTCCAGTCTGCAGCCACTAGAAAATCTATTTGAGTCTCTGGAGATTTGGATGTACAGAAGAACAGATAATTTATGATGGAAACATAAACTATAAAATACAGATGTTTTGAGATTTTAGGAAGAACGAGAGTGTTGCTGAAAAAAAAAAATAAAAGACAGTTGAATTATTTTGCCACATTAAATGACATAACACTACAAAAACCAGATTGGAGCGAAAAGTAAAAGGCAGACGAGCAATAGGTAGACTTTGATAAAGGTGGGAGGACAACATCAAGAGATGGATGAACAGTAGTCCGAGGGAGTGTACAACTAAGACAATAGACAGAGCTTGTTGCAGCCAACTTCTGTGTGAAGATAGCACCTGATTAATTTATTTAAATTCAGTATTTTCATTTCCATTAACTAACAATCAAGTTATACCGGTACCATTGGATTTAGAACACTGTATTGTCACTGAAGATCAGGATAGAGCACTTATGAAAATTCCAGAGTGCTTTGATGTCAGTTCTTAATTCAACTCACTTGGACTCATTAACTTATAAACTCTATAAAGTTTTTTTTGTTTTGTTTTGTTAAATACATAATGATGTGTATCAAATGAATCTGTAAAATGTTACAATAATAATTGTTGTGATGTTTAAAAATAAAAAAATATGAAGATGGTGGAAAGCACAGAAAACATTGACAAAGTCAAACTTATCAAGAACACAGCAAAGATATGTTTTTTTTTTTTTTTTTTTTTAGACTGCCTGTGGCAAATTATGAAAACATTGATAATGAGATTCAACAATTAAATCATGTTTGACCATAAACATTGTTCCCATCACCAACACTGAATAGCAGGATATCTTCGTACTTGATGCTGTAATATAACTTGTTTACGGCTGAACAGTTTCCGGGATTTCCTCTGTAAGGTTCACATCCAGATAATAGTTCTTTGAATAACTGTATGTTAATCTTTCAGGCTATAATCTTCCCTTCTGTTTTGTCTCCTCTGGGCTGAAAGTCAAGGTTTGACCACCCTTGATCACAAAATCCCAATTTGAATGGGAAGCCAGCAAGGCAAATCCCAGATACCCAGTTAAACTTTGATAAAAGTTATAATTATGGCACAAGAATTGGCCATAACAAGTTGGTATAATCTGCAGCCCTGTGTGGCCTGCTTTTCTTGGCTTTAAAAAAAATCCACGTTCAACTAGCACCCATAAAAAGAGAGCTCTTTGAGTTATAATTGTGACTAGCTCATGTGTGTCAAATAAAATGGCTTGGCAGTGCACACCACCAAGAGCCTGGAAAGGGACCCCTGCAGTGTCGATGTGATCAGAAGAGACAGACCCAAATACTGTCCCAACCGGCGAGCCAGTGGACTACCCGGTGGCCGAAGATAAATCCGCAGTCCTGTGTGGGTGAGGAGTTGTAGTGATAATGCAGGCTATGATGATGATAATGATGACGTTTAACCCCACCAGGATATCACACCAAGTGATAAACATCTTGTGATGCAAAGTGCCGCCATTCGGATGAGGGTCACCGGGGACAGGTGCCATAAACCCCGTTCACCCCATAGGCTGGGTTATATTAGGGCTCCTCGGTAACAGCCAGGGTGGGGCTTCAAAATGAGAAGAAATGGGATTTTACACGGGGATGAGGTTTATGAGGGCATTTTTTAAAAAAAAGTTTTCACAAATTTTCTTTCAGTAAGCTGGAATTGCTTGCTTGTTCATTGCTTTGTGAATGTTTTCTGTCATATTTCTCAAACTTTAGATGAAAGCCCACATGTCAGTAAAGTAGCAGATGTGAAGCATCCTTGCAATCCGAACCCATGCCTTGTTGATGAGGTGTGTCTGGTCAGGAGGTGGAAGTGTAAACATGCCGATGATTGTCTTCCTTATGTGTGCCATAAAGGTCAGATTTGTCTCATTATCACCATCATCATCATTATCATGTCATTTGCTCTGTCGATTAGCCTGGCATCATTGTTCACTGTCTCATGTGATTGCTCTGTCGATTAGCCTGGCATCATTGTTCACTGTCTCATGTGATTGCTCTGTCGATTAGCCTGGCATCATTGTTCACTGTCTCATGTGATTGCTCTTTCGATTAGCCTGGCATCATTGTTCACTGTCTCATGTGATTGCTCTGTCGATTAGCCTGGCATCATTGTTCACTGTCTCATGTGATTGCTCTGTCGATTAGCCTGGCTAGTCATTGTTCACTGTCTCATGTGATTGCTCTGTCAATTAGCCTGGCTAGTCATTGTTCACTGTCTCATGTGATTGCTCTGTCGATTAGCCTGGCTAGTCATTGTTCACTGTCTCATGTGATTGCTCTGTCGATTAGCCTGGCTAGTCATTGTTCACTGTCTCATGTGATTGCTCCGTCGATTAGCCTGGCTAGTCATTGTTCACTGTCTCATGTGATTGCTCTGTCAATTAGCCTGGCTAGTCATTGTTCACTGTCTCATGTGATTGCTCTGTCGATTAGCCTGGCTAGTCATTGTTCACTGTCTCATGTGATTGCTGTCGATTAGCCTAGCATCATTGTTCACTGTCTCATGTGATTGCTCTGTCGATTAGCCTGGCGTCATTGTTCACTGTCTCATGTGATTGCTCAGTCGATTAGCCTGGCGTCATTGTTCACTGTCTCATGTGATTGCTCTGTCGATTAGCCTGGCTAGTCATTGTTCACTGTCTCATGTGATTGCTCTGTCAATTAGCCTGGCTAGTCATTGTTCACTGTCTCATGTGATAGCTCTGTCGATTAGCCTGGCTAGTCATTGTTCACTGTCTCATGTGATTGCTCTGTCGATTAGCCTAGCATCATTGTTCACTGTCTCATGTGATTGCTCTGTCGATTAGCCTGGCGTCATTGTTCACTGTCTCATGTGATTGCTCCGTCGATTAGCCTGGCGTCATTGTTCACTGTCTCATGTGATTGCTCTGTCGATTAGCCTGGCTAGTCATTGTTCACTGTCTCATGTGATTGCTCTGTCAATTAGCCTGGCTAGTCATTGTTCACTGTCTCATGTGATTGCTCTGTCGATTAGCCTGGCTAGTCATTGTTCACTGTCTCATGTGATTGCTCTGTCGATTAGCCCAGCTAGTCATTGTTCACTGTCTCATGTGATTGCTCTGTCGATTAGCCTGGCATTATTGTTCACTGTCTCATGTGATTGCTCTGTCGATTAGCCTGGCTAGTCATTGTTCACTGTCTCATGTGATTGCTCTGTCGATTAGCCTGGCTAGTCATTGTTCACTGTCTCATGTGATTGCTCTGTCGATTAGCCTGGCTAGTCATTGTTCACTGTCTCATGTGATTGCTCTGTTAATTAGCCTGGCTAGTCATTGTTCACTGTCTCATGTGATTGCTCTGTCGATTAGCCTGGCTAGTCATTGTTCACTGTCTCATGTGATTGCTCTGTCGATTAGCCCGGCTAGTCATTGTTCACTGTCTCATGTGATTGCTCTGTCGATTAGCCTGGCATCATTGTTCACTGTCTCATGTGATTGCTCTGTCGATTAGCCTGGCATCATTGTTCACTGTCTCATGTGATTGCTCTGTCGATTAGCCTGGCATCATTGTTCACTGTCTCATGTGATTGCTCTGTCGATTAGCCTGGCGTCATTGTTCACTGTCTCATGTGATTGCTCTGTCAATTAGCCTGGCTAGTCATTGTTCACTGTCTCATGTGATTGCTCTGTCGATTAGCCTGGCTAGTCATTGTTCACTGTCTCATGTGATTGCTGTCGATTAGCCTAGCATCATTGTTCACTGTCTCATGTGATTGCTCTGTCGATTAGCCTGGCGTCATTGTTCACTGTCTCATGTGATTGCTCAGTCGATTAGCCTGGCGTCATTGTTCACTGTCTAATGTGATTGCTCTGTCGATTAGCCTGGCTAGTCATTGTTCACTGTCTCATGTGATTGCTCTGTCAATTAGCCTGGCTAGTCATTGTTCACTGTCTCATGTGATAGCTCTGTCGATTAGCCTGGCTAGTCATTGTTCACTGTCTCATGTGATTGCTCTGTCGATTAGCCTAGCATCATTGTTCATTGTCTCATGTGATTGCTCTGTCGATTAGCCTGGCGTCATTGTTCACTGTCTCATGTGATTGCTCCGTCGATTAGCCTGGCGTCATTGTTCACTGTCTCATGTGATTGCTCTGTCGATTAGCCTGGCTAGTCATTGTTCACTGTCTCATGTGATTGCTCTGTCGATTAGCCCAGCTAGTCATTGTTCACTGTCTCATGTGATTGCTCTGTCGATTAGCCTGGCTAGTCATTGTTCACTGTCTCATGTGATTGCTCTGTCGATTAGCCCAGCTAGTCATTGTTCACTGTCTCATGTGATTGCTCTGTCGATTAGCCTGGCATTATTGTTCACTGTCTCATGTGATTGCTCTGTCGATTAGCCTGGCTAGTCATTGTTCACTGTCTCATGTGATTGCTCTGTCGATTAGCCTGGCTAGTCATTGTTCACTGTCTCATGTGATTGCTCTGTCGATTAGCCTGGCTAGTCATTGTTCACTGTCTCATGTGATTGCTCTGTTAATTAGCCTGGCTAGTCATTGTTCACTGTCTCATGTGATTGCTCTGTCGATTAGCCTGGCTAGTCATTGTTCACTGTCTCATGTGATTGCTCTGTCGATTAGCCCGGCTAGTCATTGTTCACTGTCTCATGTGATTGCTCCGTCGATTAGCCTGGCTAGTCATTGTTCACTGTCTCATGTGATTGCTCTGTCGATTAGCCCGGCTAGTCATTGTTCACTGTCTCATGTGATTGCTCTGTCGATTAGCCTGGCATCATTGTTCACTGTCTCATGTGATTGCTCTGTCGATTAGCCTGGCGTCATTGTTCACTGTCTCATGTGATTGCTCTGTCGATTAGCCTGGCGTCATTGTTCACTGTCTCATGTGATTGCTCTGTCGATTAGCCTGGCTAGTCATTGTTCACTGTCTCATGTGATTGCTCTGTCGATTAGCCTGGCATCATTGTTCACTGTCTCATGTGATTGCTCTGTCGATTAGCCTGGCGTCATTGTTCACTGTCTCATGTGATTGCTCTGTCGATTAGCCTGGCTAGTCATTGTTCACTGTCTCATGTGATTGCTCTGTCGATTAGCCTGGCTAGTCATTGTTCACTGTCTCATGTGATTGCTCTGTCGATTAGCCTGGCATCATTGTTCACTGTCTCATGTGATTGCTCTGTCGATTAGCCTGGCATTATTGTTCACTGTCTTATGTGATTGCAAAGTCTCTGATCAGGTCATTGTTTGTGTGTTCTGCCAGAATTTAGGTAATTGTTTTTTTTTTTTCTTCTTTTATATTTGTTTTTCCACTCTAAAGTTGCAGTTTGAAAGACTCGCATCCGGTGATCCAGATAAGAATCCAGATAAGAATCAAACTGGTAAAAGTTCCAGAAACCCTGTTCAGCTATATATAACTATATAATGCAGCACCCTTCAGTTTTGAGGCTAGATGCTTACCTGCCAGCCTGAAGACTCTAGTTCAAATCCACATTTAGTCAGATTTTTTTTAAACTTTGACCTTGGTTTCCTGGTCACCCCAGTCTTAAATAAGTATCAGGTAACAGAATGGAAGGTAAAGGAGGCCGACATGATGTTGAAGACATCATCTACCAAATTCTGGTTGGTCTACAAATATATTAGTCTAGTATCGTATGCTCAATGTGCCGCTTTAGGAATAAGGGTTCTTAACACACTTATCTTATATCTAAAACTCTTTATGTCTCATGTGCTTGACTTTACTTGATAATCTTATATTTTAAACTCTTTATGTCTCATGTGCTTAACTTCACTTACAAATCTTATATCTAAAACTCTCTGTGTCTCATGTTCTTGAGTTTACTTTCTAATCTTATATCTAAAACTCTTTATGTCTCATGTTCTTGAGTTTACTTTCTAATCTTATATCTAAAACTCTTTGTGTCTCATGTGCTTGACTTTACTTGCTAATCTTATATCTAAAACTCTTTATGTCTCATGTGCTTAACTTTACTTGCTAATCTTATATCTAAAACTCTTTATGTCTCATGTGCTTAACTTCACTTACAAATCTTATATCTAAAACTCTTTGTGTCTCATTTTCTTGAGTTTACTTTCTAATCTTGTATCTAAAACTCTTTATAACTTATGTGCTTAACTTCACTTACAAATCTTATATCTAAAACTCTTTGTGTCTCATGTTCTTGAGTTTACTTTCTAATCTTGTATCTAAAACTCTTTATGTCTCATGTGCTTAACTTCACTTACAAATCTTATGTCTAAAACTCTTTATGTCTCATGTGCTTGAGTTTACTCACTATCTCAAGTTGAATATTCTTGGACATTTCAGATGTTCCTATTAGTGTTTGTGTTTGTTGTTACAGCTTGCCCTCTGGGTCAGGTCTCCAAAGTTCTGGTGCCAAGAGGAACTGATGTTCGGCTGATTAACTTAAATGAGACACCAGAGGAAGAGGACTGTTACCTGGCATGCCACTGCGGAAGCCGAGGTCTCATAGAAAACTGCAAACCTTTGACCTGTTTGAAACGTGACTCTTGTTTTTTGAGTCACGGAAACACTAAAGGTGAGGAATACATGGAATGGTGTGTTTTGTGTCTAGATTTTTAAATCCATGTTCTTGTGATTGTTTTTTCTGAAGGTCAAGGGTGACTACTGTAATACACAGGTATTTCTGTGAGTACTCCAGTCTTCTGAAGAAGAATTTTAGAAGCACGCAAACAAGAATACAAATGTGTTTATGTACCTGAATCATAAATACTCATTTAGTGAGCAGCTTTTTAAAATGATAAAGTTGCATGAACAGCAGTCTGTTTAAGCATTGTGTGTGTGCGTATGTGTGTCTGTATGTGGTGAGTACGTGCGTGTCTGCAGTGATATGGTCAGCTCCTGAAAGACTCTTATCACCTAGAGATGTACGTACAAACAAACTTCATTTCCAAAAAGTTACGCCTTAATTTGAGATCATGGTCTAAGTCTTGTACATGTGTAACAAACAAAATCAAGCAATCAACAATCATAATGACGATTGGCTGCATTTGATCTACAATGTGCTCTGTCTTTCACCCTGGCTGTGCACTCTCATAGACTGCTGTTTGTCCAACTGTTGACACCATCCTCCCATTTGTATTGCTGTCTGCCTCTTGCTCGCTTACCTTCAACTTTTCCCTCGAGTATGATTATTATAAGAGTGTCATGTATTTTAATATGGCCAAAATATTTCACTTGTCCTTTTTTGTCATTTCCCTCAGCAGCTCTCTTTTCATTCATAGTCTGTTCAAAACACTGTACTTGTATGAAAAAAAAAATTTTTTATTCTGAGAAAAAATACTCAAAATTGTTTCTCTAACACTGAAGTTGCAGCACTCAGGAATGTCCATAGTTGCTCAGTCTCCTATAAAAGATAATGAAGAGTATCTTTTGCTTCTTCTGTGGTCTTTGTTGAAGAGTATGATTACATTTCGTTTCACTGGCTATAATATGCCCCCCCCCCCCCCACTATATAACCACCCCTTTCTGATTTTGGTGATAAATAGTTTTTCAAAAAATATTCAGTTACTCATTTTTGGTAATTCAGGGGATTTTCCCCATTCTTTGCTTAGAATTACATCTCTAAGGCCTTGAGTTATTGTTCCCTTCTTGTCAGGATTTACTGGCATACATTAAAACTAGCACTACATTATGTCCTTCCTTCTGAAAGTCCATGCCATGTGGCGCTGGTCTGTCCACAGCCTTCTGGCTCATGTATTGTCAGTCTAAACAAATGTTATTTTTAATCATGATGCCAAATTTCTTTTTTCTCTCTCTTGGTCTTGCTCTACTCTCTCCTCTAATTATCTCATTGTCACAATGTGCTCTAGTTTTTTTTTTTTTGAATTTTTACTATGTGCCCAAAAATAGCAGTATGTAATCATTCATTTTTGAAACCTTCAGTAAAATATTTTTTGCATGAGGTGTTCTTCATTTCATAAAATATAGTTTATTGTTTGTCCTGTTTTTTTTAGCTAACTGTATCATAAGTCTATGATTTTATTTACTGAAATCCTCTGGCAGATCAAGAAATGAGTATCTTTAATTATTCAGATTAAAATTAGATAGTGCCTGATGCCCAAAATTTAGGAATAAGATTGTTTACCTACTCTTTTTTCTACAATTAGATAGTGCAGAAGACCACTGACTCCCAAGTATGTTTTAAAGTATGACCTTTTTCCCATCTAGGGCATAACATTAATGTGTCCATATATGGTTAATTGTGTATTCTTTAGAGGGCATTGCAAAACACCCCACCATTTATTGGCTGCTAGTTGTTTTAGTTGGCAGTTTTTACATTCAGTAGTTTGCCATTGCTTTCCAGCTTTTGATACCATTGTCAGAATCAATACAAAGCAGTTTGCTGCCTAATTGTCAGAAGATGGAGTCGTGACGGGTATCTTTAAATGATAGACTGTCTTCATTTCACAAGCTACAGGTTCCACCGTGCCCATAGATACACTCATACAATGTCTTCATTTCACAAGCTACAGGTTCCACCGTGCCCATAGATACACTCATACAAACTCTCATTTCTTACACCCATACACTCATTTCTTACACTCATACAAACACTCATTTCTTACACTCATACAAACACTTATTTCTTTCTTAGATTCATACAGACACTAATTTCCTACAATAAAAACACTAATCTCTTACGCTCATACAAACATTCATTTCTTTTTTTCATACTCAGTTGACTTTACTGAACACCTCACTGCTCCCACATATCCTTCCACTATACCCTAAATGCACTGAACACCTCACTGCTCCCACATATCCTTCCACCACCCTAAATGAGACCCCACTTCACACTTTAGGAAGAACAGCTCTAGACCCCAGGATAGAAATGGAAAGACTAAGAAAATAAGAAATGAGAAATAGCAATTATTTATGACAATGACATGTTCCTCTCTATTTTATTTTTCAGAGCATGGGCAGCATTTTTCAGTGAATGAAAATGCTTGCGTCTGCAGCGCAGGAAGGGTGCTGTGTACGAGGAAGTCCTGCCAACCAGATAATCACTCTCCTCTGTCAGCGGGTAGGAAAATAGCTGCTGAAATGCCTTAATTATTCATAGGTCGGATAGATAGAAAATGTGATCATTAATACCTAAAAGTAGCCATGGATAGATTGTGGGGCTACAAACGCAAACAGCAATGGAGGGACTGTGAGCTACAGACACAGAGCAGTCTCTTCCATGATGCAGATCTTCTTTATCTTGTTCACTGGCTGTTAACTCTGTTATATGTCTACTCTTGGACTTTGGTCCTGTTCCAGAACTTGAGTTTTGCGTGCACATCCATCTTTCAGATCTGGCTTATTTGTATGCACACTGTTGGTTCTATGCCTCTCACAAGATGCACTTCAACTTTGAAGAAAACCCCCATAATTAGCCGCCTCCTGTGACATGTTTTTAGAGGAACAATGTTCTCCACAACGGAACCCACATGGGGTAGGTGCATACATTTGTCCTTAAACCGTGAGAGCAGTATTTCCACCATGAAAATCATACCCTCATATGATATTAAAACTGTTACATGTTACACTAATTCACTAACCTCCAAGCAACACAAAATACACACTTATATAGAGTTATTAATTTAAGTATTGTTGTTAATTTGAGAATCAATTTCTGAAACCATTCCTTGTCTCATCAAATCAGGAAACCCCAGCAACTGCCCCACAGATTATCACCCAGTGTGTGGTTCTAATGGAAAGACTTATCCAAATGCATGCATGGCCAGGTGCGCTGGTGTCTCTAATATAATTGCCGACACAGTGTGTGGTGACGTGGACGCATGCTCACAGAGGCCTTGCCCTGCTGGTTTTAAATGTGTGCCCCATCATCACGTCTGCTTGAATGACTTGCCAGGAAGTCATTCTTGCCCACAGTATCAGTGTGGTAAGTAGAAGACAACATTCTGACAAAAATATTACTTTATTAAAATTTCTAGTTATGCTAGTTGCATCACTTTAAAATTGGATAGTGCTTCTGTGTGTGTTTTTTTTTTTTTTTTTTTAATATATCAGATATACTAAACTGTTGCAGTTCCAGAAGATTGAACTTACTTAAATTTTAGCATTGTGCTGATAAAAATTTCATCATCATCTTCTTCTGCATGCTCCCTTAAAAGATAGAATGGCACACTGTGCTGTGGTTTACAGCTAGACTGTGATATCTGCACTTTTTGGCCTAACACATTCAATTTCAACAAATTCCTAATTAGTTTACACGCTAATTTGGAAGGAAGTAAGTCTATTTCATCTCACGGCCCCGGAACCAACGCAGAGAATGTCACCGCCTGTTGGGAGAGAAAAAATATAGTTTGACATTTTTAGTAACCTCTGTTACAGATACAAATACTACACAGCTGATATCATTGCAACCTCTGTTACAGATACAAATACTACACAGCTGATGTCATTGCAACCTCTGTTACAGATACAAATACTACACAGCTGATGTCATTGCAACCTCTGTTACAGATACAAATACTACACAGCTGATGTCATTGCAACCTCTGTTACAGATACAAATACTACACAGCTGATGTCATTGCAACTTCTGTTACAGATACAAATACTACACAGCTGATGTCATTGCAACCTCTGTTACAGATACAAATACTACACAGCTGATGTCATTGCAACCTCTGTTACAGATACAAATACTACACAGCTGATGTCATTGCAACCTCTGTTACAGATACAAATACTACACAGCTGATGTCATTGCAACCTCTGTTACAGATACAAATACTACACAGCTGATGTCATTGCAACCTCTGTTACAGATACAAATACTACACAGCTGATGTCATTGCAACCTCTGTTACAGATACAAATACTACACAGCTGATGTCATTGCAACCTCTGTTAGAGATACAAATACTACACAGCTGATGTCATTGCAACCTCTGTTACAGATACAAATACTACACAGCTGATGTCATTGCAACCTCTGTTACAGATACAAATACTACACAGCTGATGTCATTGCAACCTCTGTTACAGATACAAATACTACACAGCTGATGTCATTGCAACCTCTGTTACAGATACAAATACTACACAGCTGATGTCATTGCAACCTCTGTTACAGATACAAATACTACACAGCTGATGTCATTGCAACCTCTGTTACAGATACAAATACTACACAGCTGATGTCATTGCAACCTCTGTTACAGATACAAATACTACACAGCTGATGTCATTGCAACCTCTGTTACAGATACAAATACTACACAGCTGATGTCATTGCAACCTTTGTTACAGATACAAATACTACACAGCTGATGTCATTGCAACCTCTGTTACAGATACAAATACTACACAGCTGATGTCATTGCAACCTCTGTTACAGATACAAATACTACACAGCTGATGTCATTGCAACCTCTGTTACAGATACAAATACTACACAGCTGATGTCATTGCAACCTCTGTTACAGATACAAATACTACACAGCTGATGTCATTGCAACCTCTGTTACAGATACAAATACTACACAGCTGATGTCATTGCAACCTCTGTTACAGATACAAATACTACACAGCTGATGTCATTGCAACCTCTGTTACAGATACAAATACTACACAGCTGATGTCATTGCAACCTCTGTTACAGATACAAATACTACACAGCTGATGTCATTGCAACCTCTGTTACAGATACAAATACTACACAGCTGATGTCATTGCAACCTCTGTTACAGATACAAATACTACACAGCTGATGTCATTGCAACCTTTGTTACAGATACAAATACTACACAGCTGATGTCATTGCAACCTCTGTTACAGATACAAATACTACACAGCTGATGTCATTGCAACCTCTGTTACAGATACAAATACTACACAGCTGATGTCATTGCAACCTCTGTTACAGATACAAATACTACACAGCTGATGTCATTGCAACCTCTGTTACAGATACAAATACTACACAGCTGATGTCATTGCAACCTCTGTTACAGATACAAATACTACACAGCTGATGTCATTGCAACCTCTGTTACAGATACAAATACTACACAGCTGATGTCATTGCAACCTCTGTTTTTATTTTATTTCTTTGTTTTCTTCTCTTCTTAGTGTTCACTGGTTTCAAACTTTAGTGGAAAGTTCTGGTAGTTCACCCGCTTCTGAAATTCTTTTTTTGAGGACTTTAGTTTTGTGTGCACATCCATTTTACAGATCTAGCTTATTTGCGAGCAGACTGTTGGTTCCTTGCCTCTCTAGCAGATGCACACTGACTTCAAAGGAAGCGCTCTTAATTAGACTACTTTAACGACGTGCTTGTTTAAGGGGCAGTGGATGTATTCTTTTTTCTTTCTCCCCAAACTGGGGCCCCAGAACCCACACAGCTGTTTTGGTACGTTGATTTGGATAAGTGAATACCAACTGTTAGAATGCTGAGCTCTGATTAGAGATACCTAGTTTAAAAACTTCAGTAAAGTGAGACAATTATTGCTGTCAGGGCAAACCTGTGGTGACTGCACAAGTTATGCAACCCCTAATCCACAGTGAGGCGAGACAGTTGTTTCTGGCAGGGCAAACCTGTGGTGACTGCACAAGTTATGCAACCCCTAATCCTTAGTGAGACGAGACAGTTGTTTCTAGCGGGGCAAACCTGTGGTGACTGCACAAGCCATGCAACCCTTAATCCTCAGTGAGGCGAGACAGTTGTTTCTGGCAGGGCAAGGCAAACTTGTGGTGACTGCACAAGTTATGCAACCCTAATCCTCAGTGAGGCAAGACAGTTGTTTCTGGCAGGGCAAACCTGTGGTGACTGCACAAGCCATGCAACCCCTAATCCTCAGTGAGGCGAGACAGTTGTTTCTGGCAGGGCAAACCTGTGGTGACTGCACAAGCCATGCAACCCTTAATCCTCAGTGAGGCGAGACAGTTGTTTCTAGCGGGGCAAACCTGTGGTGACTGCACAAGCCATCCAACCCTTAATCCTCAGTGAGGCGAGACAGTTGTTTCTGGCAGGGCAAGGCAAACTTGTGATGACTGCACAAGTTATGCAACCCCTAATCCTCAGTGAGGCGAGACAGTTGTTTCTGGCAGGGCAAGGCAAACTTGTGGTGACTGCACAAGTTATGCAACCCTAATCCTCAGTGAGGCGAGACAGTTGTTGCTGTCAGGGAAAACCTGCGGTGACTGCACAAGTTATGCAACCCCTAATCCTCAGTGAGGCGAGACAGTTGTTTCTGGCAGGGCAAACCTGTGGTGACTGCACAAGTTATGCAACCCCCAATCCTCAGTGAGGCGAGACAGTTGTTGCTGTCAGGGCAAACCTGTGGTGACTGCACAAGCCATGCAACCCTCAATCCTCAGTGAGGCGAGACAGTTGTTACTGTCAGGGCAAACCTGTGGTGACTGCACAAGCCATGCAACCCTCAATCCTCAGTGAGGCGAGACAGTTGTTGCTGTCAGGGCAAACCTGTGGTGACTGCACAAGCCATGCAACCCTCAATCCTCAGGCTAAAAACTCCCTTGTGTGCACCACCCTAAGAAGCCATTAAAGCTAGTTTAGATTATTTAATGGCTACATATCTTTACTCACAGAGCATGTTGAGAAAGGTGGAGACAGGCATGCTCCGTGCAGAGTGGCAAGCATCACTTCAGAGGTCCCGGGTAGTTAGAATCCTTTGAACATTTTCTCCATATCAAGCCAGTGTGTTAGGAAAAGATCAGGCAGTTCTGACACTAAAATTGAGGAAATGAGGACATTATGAGAAACTCTGTTGATGAGTAAACCACAAGGTCCACAATACTGAAAAGATTGTACAAGATAGAATCGAAGGGAGAAATAGTCTGTGAGCCCTATGTGATATATAAACAGCACAAGCAGATGATGATGATGTTCTGACTTTTGGTATGTCATTGATATTATAGTTGACGAGGGCTGCACCGCACATGGCCATGACCCAGTCTGCAGCAGCTCCGGGGAGGAATTTTCAAATATTTGCCAGATGTTTAGTCACAGAAGAACTCTGGGATATTGGGGACATTGCCAGGTAAGATTTGGTGTTTAGCTATATAATTGAGTTTTTAAGAGCTATAATAGATAAAAAGAGATTAAATAATGCGGATACAAACAATACATTGCACAATTTATGGCCAGGCATATTTCGCTGTATCTCATCAGGTGCGTTACTACCAAGTTACATTAACATAAAATAAAGCACAAACTGTCTCGCTTTCATGGCCGCCAGAAGTGAATCAATAAATTAAGAAGAGTTTGGAGGCAGCAGAGATGTGATTTCTTATTTACATATTGCAAATACTTTAGATAGCCAGAGCGGCACATTGGGCATATGATGTTCAACACATTTTTTTTTAGGCCAAGCAGCACTTGATGGGTGATTTGGTCAACATCATATGTTCAAAAAAAGTAAAGGACCCTTTTCCATGCCTTTAGGTGTATAGGGCATATAGGGCTAGACATATAGACCGATCGGCACAAGATGGGTGATGTGGTCAACATCACGTCGACCGCCTTTACTTCCAGGGGACTGCACCCGGTACCCACTCAAGGCTGGGTCGACCTGAGAGCCAAGGTCATTTTTGACAAAAGTCAGGGTCCACCACAGAGCGAACCCATGACCTTCCTATCCGTGGCAAGCGTCTAGCCACTCTGCCACCGGGACTCCCCAACATCATATGGGCCTATCTTTACTTCCCGAGACTTTACCTAATACCCACTTTAGGCTGGGTTTACCGGGGAGGCAAAGTCATGTAAAGAGTTCCATCTTGATTCAGATTCAAACACCAGACCTTCAGGCGAGCACCTAGCCTGTATGTTACTAAAGTTCCCACAGAACTTTATATGTGCCTTTATATATATAAAAAAAAAAAAATAGGTGTCTTTTTGTAATGCGAAAAAGTTAAAGGTTAAAGTCAAGAGTTTTGACTTCATTGCACTAGGTTTTATCCCATGTGGCTAGATCTCTCTCCACAAAATGGCTAGCTAACCTGCCGAGAGCATCACACAAAGCACGAACACCATCGCTCGGAAAATAATCCCTAGGGGCCTGTAAAATTTGCACTCGTGAACCGAAAGATGCAAGCCTTGAACCCAACTCATGACCCCTTTACAGTGCAAGGCTTGACCACTCCAGGGAAACCTTATGTTTTTTGTTATTGATTGTTTATGTGTGTTTTTGTTGTTGTTATTATAATGTGAATGGAGAATACCATGATGACTGGAAATATCAGAAGTAGAAAAGGCAGAAACAGACTGGGAGAAATTGTGCTTGATGGTTTATGACTGTGACATGGAGGAATATCATGGTTAAAATTGACTGAGAACACAGAGGACCAAGATTTGTAGAGAGGCATCATCTGGCAAGGCACAAGGTAATTATAATGAAACCTGCCTAGCTACCAATATTTCTGACCTGTCACTTCCTGTTTATATTTTTCCAGAGTTCTTGTTCCGACACAGCCGCTGTTTGTGGGCATGACGGGGAGACGTATAAAAGCAAATGTGCAGCTTTGGCAGCCAGGGTCAGCGTGGATTATTTCGGCAAATGTCAGGCCTTTGGAAATCTCACAAGTAAATAACTTAGCTCACCTCTTCTGCTTTTTCTTCTTCTCCTCCTCCTTCTTCTTCTCCTCCTCATCCTTCTTCTTCTTCTCCTCCTTCTACTTCTTATCCTCCTTCTACTTCTTCTCCTCCTTCTTCTTCTTCTTCCTCTTCTTCTTCTGCCTCCTCCTTCTCTACATTCAACCTTAAAAGAGCTGTTAGCACACTGTACCATACTTCACAGCTAGACTGTATTATCTGTGCCTTTCGGCCCATCACATCTTATTTCAAAAAACCTTAATTAGTTTACCGTTGACGATATGCATGTTGGGGGACAGTGGGTCTGTTCAGTTGTCACCCAAGATGAGGCATCAGAGCCCACACAGGAAGGAGCTCACTCAGCAAGCAGCATTTCTGACAAGATGTATTGTCATTTACATTTGTTTTAACTGTGTACAAAATATTAGGGTTGTTGTAAACTCGACTTTTGGCTGCCTGCTGAAAATCATGTTTAAAAAAACATGGAGGAAAAGATTACACACAAATGTAATCTTTCTTTTATTCATCATAATCCCATTGTGCCCCATTACATGTCACGTAGGGAGAGCTCACTCTCTGTCCTCCATTCTGTTCCATCTTGTGCAGTTATTTCAATATCGTCGATGGAATCCAATCAAGCACCTTTGACCTTTCTCAGCATTTGTCTTAAGATTTCACTTGGACATCATTGTTTCTTCAGTCCGTCTGTTTCCTATTTCAGTATCTGTTTAGTGATTCTCTGTCTGTTTCCTATTTCACTATCTGTTTAGTGATTCTCTGTCTGTTTCTCCTCATGATGTGCCCAGCGTATTGCTGCCTTCTTTGTCTTATAATTGTTGAAGCCGCTGTCCAGAAATTTCTCCCTTTTTCTCTCTCACTTTTTTAACAGGTTTCCATTTGATGTTTATCAATTTCCTAAGGCCTTTAGAACATTCATGCACACCTGTACTATATATCCAACTCATTGTCAGTCACATTTAGACATTTTATTGTACTATCTACTTCTCACATCTGTCATCATAGATTTTTCTGTGATGGTGCTCCCCCATTTCTTGAACATATCCATATTTCTGTAGTTCTGAGACGCTAGAGATTCTGTCAGATTCATTGAAGTATGTGAGGTACAGTATTTCTTCAACATCATCTGACTAATGTTTTTTGTTTCCTTTCACAATCTTCTGAGATTTCTCTGTGTCTTTCTAGCAGCTTGCTGTAATTCTTCTCTACAAATTTGTATTTCTTATTTTTCAGTATCTAGTCATTTCAGCATTTTATCACACTGCTGTCAACTCTGATCTGCAAATAATTTTTTTTTTTTTTAAATACTTTGCTGCACTTGTTTTCATCTTTTCTGTCAAGAATTTTGCACAATCGTTTATATTGTGTAGGTTTATGCAACCACAGTTTCATGCACAATCTAACAGTGTTAACAGCTTGCAGAAGACATTTAATTGCTTAGTATTCGTATTGACGTGACATTTTTCTGTAATACAAAAGGACACATTATGTGATGGTTGTGATTCATAGTTACCAGCCCACTGGGCATTCATATGCCTTGTCAGGGACTGTCTGAATTATTTCATATTTTCTCTTTCAAAGCCATTATTTACAATTCATAAGAAATAAAATGTCTGCTATGCGATCTTCTATCTACCAGCAGGTGACTCAGGAAGCACATCTTGTAATCGTGTGAAATGTCCACCAATGTTTCCTAGTGGTTGTCATGGAGTTGTACCCCCTGGAGCATGTTGTCCAGTTTGTGGTAGGTTGTTTATGACTTTCACACAGATTTCATGCATAAAATAGTGTCATCAGATTTTAGATTGGAATACTTGTGTAATAAAGCACACATAACACACTTTATCTCATCAGTTAGATTTACTCCACTTCCATTGTTGTCTCTTCACAGTAACAGCCATGTTATTTATTCAAAAGTCAGAACAATTTCATCACCTACCGAGTGCCAGTTGATTGATAAAATTGAGATTTTACTGTGTAGGCCTTATATATCTAAAGGTTGGCAAAGCATTTTTTTTTTTTTGTATGTTAATTTTACTTTTTACTAATATTTTAAAGTATTCTATTGCAGGTAAATAGTGATAATCAAGAGTATCAAAAATTCAAGAGTTTGCAAATGTTCTGTCTTCAGTAACAACACCTCAGTGCTTCAATAAACATGAAATATGATCATACATTTAAAAGTGAGAAGACAGATAAATTAATCTAACTCTGATTTGAAAATAAATTATTTGTAATGAAATCTGTAGATACCTTGGAGAAGAACCAAAAAAGACATTCAGGACCATAGCATGCTGGGGCGGGGTGGAGGTGTTTTTTTTTTCTTGCGGTTTTTCTTTAAAAAACAGTGGTCAGAAAATCTAGACAAAAACTTTTTTTGGGGAGGGGTGGGGGGGGGGGGGGGGTGAATTGAATGAGCTCGAGTCCACCTTGGGTTCATCTGGTTGTACAAGGGGTTTTCAGAAAGTAATGCTGAATATTTTTTAAATTAAACAATTTCTGAAAAATGTTTGAAATATCCTAATTTTCTGTCTCCTTGAACTTGTGTGGCCTGATGCCTATGTCATGCACAACCTGTCTGTATTCGATTTTGCCCCTTTACTGAGACATTTATTCTTAGCATGAATAAGATCCGCAGGTCCATCTGTTCACAATCGTAAGCTTTAACTCTCTGAAGCCAGTGACCAATGGTGCTTTTATTGATTGCGCAACTTCCAAATATTACACACAAATGTTTATGAATGTTCACCTTAGTTTCTATTTGTCTGCAAACAGCAGTACTGTAACGGTTCTCGGTTTGTAAAGCACATTGTCATATTATGCAATTTTAAGAGGTTCACGCCACTTTTCTTTTTTGTCTGAATGAATTGCTATTTTGTAATGCATTACTGACATGCCAAATTCAACTCTTTGAGTCCCAGGGGGTTTAGCATCACAGGTCCAGGGGGTAGTAAAGAAAGTAATAATATTGGCGCATCATGCTTTCATTGGGCTTCTAGGTAGGAACCTGTGAACGTATGATGCGTTCCTTGGGACTCAGAGAGTTAAACTGCAAAATTCCACCATTTTACCTGTGTATTTTGCTGAGAAAAAGAATGTGGGGGCAGTAATTTATGAAAGCCTCACATACAGAAAATGTTCTTTACTGCTGGACATTGGATTTCAATCATCTCAGCAGATATGTAATACAATTGTTCCAGAAAACTCCATATTTTTTTGTATGGTGTATGTTATTTCCTGTTGTTTGACTCACCAGCTGCCCAGATCAGGCTGCTGTGGGACTCTCGGTTGATGGCAGCAGCGGCAAGTCACACAAAGCACAAGGTGATCTCTGTTGTAAATGTGCTGAGCAGACTCTCAGAGCACATCTCTGTGCTGGAGTGTGATGTGTCTGGCTATGTCAGTGTCATTGGAGAACTGATTGTCATCATTGGAGCGGTTGTGGCACAACCTACAGCTCTTCAGGTTAGAATGTACACATCATTATTGTGATCCGTCTATGTTGGGAGGACATTTCTCACCCTGTCAGTGGGATCTGTCTGGATTGTAGTCACTTCTCACTATGTCTGGGTTGGTTTCATACTGTCAGTAGGATCTGTCTGGAATGAGTTCCCTTCTCACACCTTCAATGAGATCTGCCTGGGTTGTGATCACAACATCATTAGGGTTTGTCTTGGTTGGGTTCAGTTCTCCTAGTGTCAGTGGGACCTCTCTGGGTTGGGTTTATGGGTTCACTTCTCACACTGTCACTGGGACCTCTCTGGGTTGGGTTTATGGGTTCACTTCTCATACTGTCACTAGGACCTGTCTGGGTTGAGCTCACGGTGTATGATAGTAGGCAGAGATTCCAGTTTTAAGAGTTTGTGTTTCTCAAGTATTTAGTTTTTGCCTTTTATAAATAGCCAAGTTACTTTCAGCCAGGGAGCTTTATCTCTGAGGTCAGGGTGCACCACTGGCAATGAGGGGCAGAGACTGTGAAGATCATAGCCAACCTTCATTGTGAAGAGGGCACCTAATTGATCACTTGAATCAAACAAAACAGATTCTTGTTCAGTTTATTTTTCTAAGAGATTTACTTCATTTTACACTTTTGATAAAGTCAATAGCTGTGTGTTGCAGGGAGTGATGTTTAGATAAACTATTTTAGATAGATAAAGAGCTCAGTGTTTGAGAAGAAGCTCATGAAATATATGTGATGATGGCAGAAGTATTTCTGAAATCCCATGCTCTAATTGTGAAAGACTCTTCCTAATGTAGGCAGGTCTTGCTAGTCACACTTGCCATCACCATGAGCTGTGATTTATATGTTTCTGTAGTGCAGTATAACACTATTGTCTGGAAACATAGAAAGGTGGCAGTGAAAAAAAAAAATGATGCAGTTACAAGTTATTCAATGGTAATTTACATAACACACTTTGCATATGTTACCACTACAAATATTGCCACTATAAATATGTTGCGACTACAGATGTGTTGCCACTACAGATGTGTTACCATTACAGATGTTTTCTGTTTCAAACTAGGTTGAAGCCTGCCAGAGTGAAGCCAAGCGAATCCACAGCCTTCTGAAAATGGGCAGCCCAAACATAGTTTCCTATTTAACAGTTTCGCCAGTCGTCTTCTCGGAGCTCCAGCTGTCATCCGTGAGCTCAACTTCGATGGACCCTATGTACATATCTGACCTTTTCAGGGGCACTCACTCTAATAATAACAGTTCATATTCACAAGTGTCTAATCTACTGTTGCTGTCTTTGTGCGCTATGTTTGCCCTTATGTGTTGTCTCATACACAGGGTGAGGTTAAAATTGTGATAGCCATTGATTAAATGGCTGATATTACTTATACTAAATATTAAGATATTGAGCGAAATATAGATTTTCCCAGTTTTGATGTTGCTGAAATAGTTGATTAAGAATCAACACAAGTGCACTCAAGAAGCACCCATATCTGCTCTGTCTCTGCTATCAGCAAAT